TTCCCAGCATTCAATGCAGGACCAGCAGGTTCTGCAGCAGCTTCTTCCCCACCACCATCACACTGATGAACTGTCTGTTGAGACTCAAATGTTTTTTACTGCATTTTGCACCATATCTATCTATTTATTTATTTTTTCACTGCTCTGAACTTCCACATCAAAGCCTTTTGCACCATGTCTCCCCTGCACTCCTAACATTCAATCACTGCTAGACTTGAATGAATAAATGGAAATGGTCATTTTCAAGTTTCACTGCTAAGCTGCTCATTCACTGTCGGAAAGCTGTGTAAGAAAAAATATTGTTTTCTATACACTCTGTTTACTAAATTAGCAGAAACTTTGTCTAAGTTTTTATATCTACATCCAAAACCTTTATTGTGTTTTGCTGATTTCAAATCAAAATGATGCATTGAGACTAACTGGACGTCTTCCTCTAAAACGATTCATTCCTGTCATCATCTTCTGCATTCAGATGCTCATTGCATCTTTCTTTGCCCTTTATCTAATAAAGCAAACCCTCTAATTATTCTCTCTATTCACTTTAACCTTTGGTGCGTCTGAGGCTCAGAATGATTACACTGATTCAGAAATGATGTAGAAAAGATTTAGAAATGTTCATGCTCAGCTGTCAGACTCGTGTTTTTAACCGTCTCTCAATGTCTGTCTGTCCGTCAGCAGGAAATAAATAAAGACAGATAATAAATGAGGACAGAAATGACTGGGATTATATTCAGTTAGGCTCTGCTAGCACACAGACGTTAGGATGCAATCAATCAAAATCAAACAATTCAATAAAAAACAAGAAATAAATCATCCAAAAGCAGAAGAAAGACAATCCCTTTATTTACTGGTAGAGATGATCAGATTTGTCAGTAAATTCCTGAGGAGCAGCTCCTTCCTGCAAACACACAATAAAGATGAGCTCATTTATTGTCTCTTTCATTGTGATTTGTAATGCGGGAAATAAACCGTCCTCTGATGGAAAGAAGTCCATGAATTCCAGAACCTGTATGTCACCGAGTTCCAGCAGTTCATTCAGAAATCCTCCGTTTATCATGTTATATTATTTGCTATAGATTAAAAGCATGATAGACTATTATATTATTCAGAAAATATCAGTATATCTAAAGGCTCTCAGTGGAGTTTAGAATAATAAGCAATTAATACTAATACTAATTAATAGTAACTGTTTTAATTATATAAATGTAGAAGAGCAGCTTTAGATCCGCCCTGCAGTCGGCGAACGTCAGGTTTTTCTTTCTTCCTGTTGAAAATCCACATTTCAAACTTGACCCACAGACAATTGCTAAAGGTTGCAGCTATTAAAGGCGACCATGGGCCTCTGATTAACGCTCTCTCTAACGCGTGACCTTTCACCTCAGATCTATGCTCATTTCTCTGTAAGTAAGTCACCCTGGAGAGATTCCCTCTCTGCATTTAACCCCTCCCCTTGGGGAGCAGTGGGCTGCCACTGTGCATCGCCCAGGGAGCAGTGTGGGGTTTAGGGTCTTACTCAGGGACCCAGAGTGGCAGTCTGTGGGAGCGGGGCTTGAACAAAGTGCAACACTCTAACCATTAGCCCCCCCCCCCGGTCTATTTCAGCAGCTTCTTTCTGCATGGCTGCCCTCTACTGATCCTGGCACCTTTTGCCTGGTTCTCTTCAGCCACCTTTGGCCCCTGGGGCCCCTGGGGGGGCAGAGATCCTCTCTTCACCTCCAGTGAAGAAGAATAAACAAAGAACTGAAGTTATGGATCTATAAGATTAATTTATGTACATTACATAAAAATCCAGGACATATTAAGGAGTAAATCTGATCTGATCTCTGCTGTTTATTAAACTTTTAAATCACTGCTGCATCCAAATGACCTGCTGATAAAAAAAAAAAGTGGAGCCAGATGCATCTAAAATAAAGCTGCATCCATTCAGGAGGATTTTCATCCATAAAGCTTCCAGCAGATTTAAGTGAATCTAGTTGTCAAAGCACAGATAATCAGTTCTGATCCATGGAAGTCCAAACAGGGAGGTGGAGCCGCCATATCATCCATTCTAACAAAACTTATGGTTTTTGTTTATTTGTTGCAGGTGACCTCAGGTTATTTAGCAGCTACTAACTGACTGATGTTTATTAACTGAGCCTTTCCTTTCTAGCAGACGTAGAAATGAAGCTGTGCCTGAAGTGGGCGGATGGCAGCATCAGCAGCCGTCAGTTCAAACTGAAAGTTCAATCTGCTCCAACATTTCTGAGGTGTTGACAGTCAGAGAGAAGCTGGTTGTTGGGTTTTACCTCCAGGTTCTGCAGGTATCCTTCCTGTGGGTCGCAGAGCAGTGAGGAGACCCGGTGGTTCTGCCTCATGCACCGAGTGCTGCTGTCCCTCCAGAGCGGGAAGATCTGCCGGATCACAGTCATGCGGCCCAGAGCGCTGTGGGTCAGCTCCAGGATCTCAGTGTCGCTGATTTCCTGCCGTAATCAAGCAAAGAAAAAATACAAAGGCTGAAGTTTCTGATTGGTTTTCTACTTTGTAAAAAATGACATTATTGTTTCTCCACAGGAACGGATCACCATCATTACAAAGATTAAACATGCTGCTTTAAATAAAGGAAGGCAGGAATCATAAGCCAGTCTTCTAAGAACTTCCTCTGGTCCCGATCAGAAGTTAATGTAAAGCCATGCCTCCATGTTGTCCTCATCAAATTCAACAATAAGTTGCAAACATTGACTCAGATTTTGTTGTTCGTTCATTGGAGAGAAAACAGCTCAGTCTGACAAATTAATTACTTCAAACATCAAAACTAATCTGGGCGGCTGTTAAATGAACTCATGTCATAAAACATGAAGCTGTTTGACATAAAATACAAACATGAACCACATTTCATGGAGATATTTAAAGGACAGATTACGTCTCATTTTCTGCTTTGTTTTTGTTTTAATAGCATCCTGTCTGGCGATGTGGCAATAAGAATAATTGTCTTGATGCCAAAAAGAGCCCAACGGATTTTACTTTCACAAGTGGAGCAGTACGGCTATCGCCATCGTGTTACGCTTGATTTATGCATATAAATAGCTTTATTATAATTATGCAGGGAGTTTTACAGATTATATGGACACTGCAATGTAAGCAGAACAGGAAAGGAAAAACAGGAAAAAAAGCAAAAAAAAATGAGAAAAGATGAAAGAAAGAGGAGATAAAAGAGGGATAATGATAAAACATCTTTAGTCTGCTTCATCACCTGCAGAGATGGAAAAAGAACAGCACAACCAACTGATATAAGAGATAAAATAAATGAACGCTAAAGTATAAGTAGTATTATTTTATCTGACTTGTACTCTGTGTTACCTGAAGATCAGAATATGGGCTTTCTGTATGGAAGTGAATCCCCCCCCGAGAGAAATGAGTCCAGCGCCGGGAGACCCAAAGCCCCAGACACCCAAAGGGACCCCAAGAGCGAAGGCACCAAGGAGGGGCCAAGCAATGAAATCTGCCCCCCACCAAGGGAGGAAGTCCCCAAGCCACTGCAATGCCGGAGGCCCTGGGAGCTGCCGGGACAAGTACGTGGGCCACCCCAAAGTGAATTTTCGGTCATGGGCCCCAGGAATCCGAGGCCCCAAGGGCGCCCCACCCCCTGGCAGGAACCCCAGCCAGGCCCCGGCCGGCCGGGCGCCGCGTAGAAGTTACCAGGAACAAGCTAGTAGCCACCCGGGCATCCAACCCTTAAACCCTGAGCTCCACCAGTGCACCGGCGAGCCCAGGCGCCAGCCAGCGGAGGGAGAGCAGGACGGGGGGAATGTGCTCCGCACCTGGCGGAGACTTGAGATGTTCATGGGAGAGGGAGGAGTTCAGACCCCAACCTGAAGAAAAAAAAACTCACAGTCTCAATCACGCCTTCCCACCCTAGTGCCCCGACTCACACCACACAGTCTCTGTCGAGCCAAAAAACGCAGGCGCACATTCAGACATAACACATCCATTAATACCAGGACCAAAGACCCGGCGGCACCGGTGGTTGGTCCCAAGATTATCGGATGATCCAATAAGTGAACCCAAAATCCGGATGTGGGGGAGGGGAGCGGCGAAACCGCCACACCAACCCATTTTGTTCCTGCTTCGAGCCCCGCACCCGGACCAGACCACCCCAACAAAAGCTCCCCCGGGATCGGGGCTCACATGCCCCACGCAGTCCAGCCCCGCCACCGGCAGGCCACCCAGGCCGCGCAGCCACCCCCCGCCAAGTCCACGGACCAGGTGGCTCGCTCTTCCTCCAGGCCCCAGACTCCAGGTGGGAGCCAGAGAACAGGGGTGTGAGAAAAACCCTGATCCTCCCTGCGCCGCTCAAATGTGGTGTTGTTGCGTGTTGCTCTCAGGTGTAATTAAAACTGGTAGTACCAAAAGGGGGTGTTTCCAGCACAGTTCACCCCCCCTCCAAGAGATAGGCGGTGCCAACACACCACCCCCAATCGACAACCCAGAACCCTCAATGTCTAAATGTAAAAGGGGATGGGGGAAGCCGTCCATGTTGGGGCCCACGATATAAGGCCCCCCCAGGTGCCTTTGACCCCCAACCCCTTAGACAATGCCCTACATAGATGTGTGTTGTGAAAATGTTGTAGATGGAAGTGTCTAAAATGCAAAATACAATTGGGTGGGGGACGTCATCATAAGGTGGGGCCCTCAAGTAACGACCCCCTCCCCAAAAACCTACATGTATGGCAGTGTGATGGAGCTGGCAGAGGGAGGATTCCGGGGATGGGAGCAAAGGACTGGGGGGCTTGCTGCACTCCCAGGGAGCCGCTGACTCCAATAGGCACCGCCGTTCCTGAGAGCCCCAGCAGTCGCACCACCATAGCGCGGGGGCCAGGGACCAGCGGCAGCTGGCCAGCGCCGACCCAAGCCCCCCCTGTATTCACCCTTGCTATGTATTTACCTTTGTGTGCTGGGAAAATAGTTACAGTCTTTTCTTAGAGAGGAAACATCCATTCTTTCCTGTTGGGTAATATTGGAAGTGGGCAATCTTGCAGTAGATAGAGCTGTTGTAACTTTCCTTCTTCTGCATGTTGTGATTTCTGATGGCTGATTAAGTGGCATTGGATGTTCCTTAGGGGTTACAGCAGAAGTGAGAACCTTGGACAGAACATTTGGTTCTGACTGGGTGAGTTCTGCTCCAAAGAGTTTTCACTCACTGGTTTTGGATGACTGGGTGTGAATTGTCCCCATGTTCTTCTCTATGAACTCTGGTGGTACCAGAGGAGTTACCACCAGAGTAACAACCGTAAAAGTTGTTCCTGTGTTTTGCTTTAAGAGCAAAATTAACCTGTCTTAGGGATAGGGTTTGACCTCTCAGAATGATTGGCTCCGCTCTGCGCCCTTTGATTGTCAACTGGAGGCGTTTGCTATTTGGGAACAGTCAGACTGAAACATAGAAGCTGCCATACTAACATCTATTTACTCTAGTGCTATAGTTCAGAGTGCAGGGCCCCGGGGAGATTATAGTGCAATGCTTTGAGCACACTGGCCTGTAGCAAGAGAAAAAGCTTAAAGTGGACAAACAGCTTTCTTGTTGCAGGATGACCATCGCCTCCAGGGAGCTGCAGCCTAGCCAAACTTTCAGACTCATTGCTAAAGAATAATCTTATTAGAAGGCTGCTATGATCTTTCAATAAAAAGGAAAACATGTTTATTGGGCCCAATCTTTTAAAGGTTTGTTTGTCTTATTTTATCTGTAAATGTTTTTTAATTTTTTTATTTGAGTATTTACTAAATACAAAAGACAGAACTCATGGTAAACTATATTACATTCTTGGGAAAGTTGCCGAGGACACAATTGTTGAAAACACTTGTTTACCATAAACTCAACAAAATAATTAACCAAAATAAAACTGATTTTACAGGTAGATATCAAAACTAACTTTTCCTTTAAAACTAAAAGAAATCTATACAAAAAGAAAAAATCAGAAGGGGAAAATGATAACTAGTCTAAAGAATCTGCGTCAAACTTATTTTCTGAATAAACCAAAAAGGGTTGCCAAATATTTTTCCTTTGAATTTTGGACTGTAATCCTAACCCTAATCCTAATCCTTTCAAACAGATGGTTTTATTCACCCAGTGAGAATGGGTTGGAGGTGAGAGGGACTTCCACTTAGTACGGATGGAATAACGAGCCAATAGAGTGAAGAATTCAATTAACTGTGATTGGCCCTTTGACTGTCTATGCTTAGTGCATACCACCCAGAATAATCAGTGCAGTTATTGGAGCTGGGTCTCAATCACGTTTATACAAACAAAAAAACAACAAATTAAAGATTTCCAACCAAAAATTGTGCAAACTAGAGCATGACCAAAACATCTATCCATCCATCCATCCATC